GAAAATGGGGGTGCCTTATATTCAAAAATCACCCTATAATCAGGCCAATATGGTATAATTTTAAACCAAATGAATCCTGATTTGGAAAAAAAAATATCAGTGATTTTAGAATCACATGGGGGAGGGGATAGCAAAAGACCAATTGATGATGTATGATGGTGTTTTTTTATTTTTTTTAATTTAACTGAAAGTGTTCATTTCAGATATTCTTGACACAAAACATTGAGTTAGGTATAGCATATTTAATTTTACAAATTATGTATATTTTAAATCACAAAATATATTATTTAGGAATGTTTTTCACACACTGAGTTTTAGTATTCATTACATTCCTGTACAGTGTATAGGGTAATTGTTTTCTTGAAGGTGAAAAGTATAAGGCACTGTAATGTTTGAGTTTTAAATATTATTCTAAAATTCAAATTATAAATATAAAGTTTATATAAACATCAAGATGTAAATTTTCTGGGAATAGAAATAGTATAAACAGTTATTTAATCACTTACATTGTTCAAATTGTGAACACGTACTTACTTTTTTGTTAAGTAATAGTCTAAATTTCTTCAGTTAACAAGTTACAAAAACTTGTAGGAAACACTCTTTCTGTAGTTTGTCTTTCATTAACTTGTAATATTGTGTTTCTTTTCATAGATGTAATAATGACATTCTCCAAGCAATTAATCGTCTGAATAAGTCACCAGATTCACTGGATGTGACCCCATTAGCTCATTCATCTGAATCAGCTAAACCTCATCAGGCAACTGATCCTTCTGCTTTGATCAAAGAAGATAACAAGGCAACAGGTATTTTTAGTATATTATCTTTATTATCTAAGTTTCTGAAAAAAATAAATTATTATAAGATTATTTTTCTCATAATAAATCATAATAATATTCAAACTATGTATATCTATTACACTGGCAAAACTGATATTTGTACACAGTAAAAATTACTACTTAATATGCCTTTTAAAAGAAAAAATAACTAATTCATTCATCAAACTTAAGTAGAATAGCCTGCGATTTTTCAGATTTTTACCTTTGTTGATAAATTTCATAAGCAAAAAACCAATCTATATTGATACTTATTTATTTTCCTGTTTGAACAAGTATTTTTAAACTAGCCATGGTCTGCAAAACATTTGCTTTGGTTTTCATGTCCTTTGCTTGAACTTTCCTTATTCTATCATTTTCATGCATGGCATTTAAGCTACACTTTCTTGAAAGCATTATGTGTTAGATCGATAAATCCTGGTCTGTTTGAAAAACTTTTATATGGTCAGACAAACAAACTTACATAGATGTAACATCATTTAATAAAACTACTCGGCCATCACTTTATTTAATAAAACTACACATAAAGTAAACAATAAAGTATAGTAATGGTATTTAGAATATTGTAAATAGTATGAGAACGTTATAAGCATTCAGCGTATGACAGGTTTTACAAGTTGAAACAAAGAAACTCGCAAAAATGAAGAATATAACCCATACTAAAGAGAAAAAAAAGCTAAAAAGTGTTTATAGCAGTTTAAAGCTAATTTATTGCAAAGTAAAGTAATTGTAAAGTTGTAATGAAGGCAAATGTAGATGAATGTGCAGAAACATCTGAATAAGGGTTCACAAAGTAATGAGCATCCGGTTTTGACCAAACTGTGCATGCGTATTTTATACCTATATAAGTCTAAAAAGCCCATAGCAGTTGTATTTACTGTAATGTTCATTGTTTTAGGAAATTACATGTGGGTTAAGTGTTGTTTGTGTGAAATACTTTGCAAATAAAAGAACAAAAGTTGAATTCGAAGCCAGTCATCAAGTAATGACAATGACATTTTGCCATGGTGTAACATAATCATTGCATTAAGAAGTTTAACTAAGCAAAAAACAGGTAAGGTGATTCTAAATGGAAAAGCCAATATGCAATCCAGACTCCTCAGACAAAGGCCTTTCTAACAATATGAGATATGTAGCATTTGATTGAGAAATTTGTGAGAAAAGTTCTGGACAGACAAACACAAGTGTATTATTTATATTGATTCACTTGTGACAAGTTAGACAGCTTCAGTATTGGATGAAGATGACTTGTTTCAAAGTTTCATAATAGGAAACTGTGATCATATTTATTGAAAAGTTTTATACTTTTTATGGTTTTCACATAAATTAACCAGTAAGCTTTGAAATTCAGCTCTGACTGTGTGTTCGTATTAGCTTCACATATATAGATAATAGCACTAAAAGAAGGTTTTTTTAATATTACTCGTTCAGCTAATTAATAAGGGTGCTGTTGACAACCCTCCATTGTTAAAAATATTAATTTATATTTAGTGTTAATCTTTTTATGTAGTAGTTACTTTCTTTAGCAGATCAATCCTAAAAATGCACATGATCCAATAGCCTGCACTTAATACTGTTCCATATTGAAAAATACTACTTTTGGAAAAAGACTATTAAATTCTCAGGAGAATGCTTATTTTTCTTTGGAGAATAAAAGATACATTTTGTGATCTTAACCCTATCTACATGGCTGGGTCAAAGCGTGCATATCACAACTTTATTATAAATCTATGTCAGTAAACTTAACACCAAAATATAGTTTATAGTTAAACTTTTTATATTATCTAAGTTTTAATTTTGAATAGAAATATAAAAAAAATTCTCAATCACTTCTCCATGTCATGTGATATGCTTGCATTTTTTAATTCTACTCATATAGATTTATTCGTTATTATTGATGTTGGAGCATCAAACCAATTAGAATTACAAGCTAGAATAAAAAATTTGAACCTTTTGTCTTCTCGATTTGCTGAAATATCAATCAATTTTTTAAATCCACCAGAGAAACCCCTCTTATCTTTTCATAGCTTCCATGGCAGTTATCGAACCACATGTCCTTGTCTGATGGACATTTTTATAACCAACAAAAAAGAGCATTTTGTCCTCTACACAAATTTATTGAAGTTTTTTGTTTGTTTTTTTGGCAGGCATAGTAGACAGTTGGCCTTAGATTCTTTGTCTGTGATCATTATTATTAAACTCTGAGCAGCTAACAGAGTGATTTTAACCTACTTATAGCTTAGTTAAAAAAAAGAAGTTAAATTATACTAGTTTGGGATATTCTGTTCTAGTGCCTGATATATGTTTGGTGTTTTAAGATGTATATTTGAAAACTACATGAATTTTTATTTGAACAACTAAGTTAATGAAAAACGTGAGGCCTAACCAGCAAGTGAAAACATCACATGGGTTAATCACTTTGCTAGTGGTATTTATGAGAGATGGCTAAGAAGGTTTTGCTGTGATTTGTTGTTTTTGATGAAGGACAGTGGTCCAAAGTACAGGTAATAGACCATGAAATTAAAAGAAAACAGATGTGAAAATGTTAGAAGTTGAAATTATGAAGATAAGAAAATTGAAAATGTCAAAAAATGAGGCATTTAATCCTTTCAAGATGGGTCACAGGTGAAAGGCCATGTCATCTCTTTTGTTGACTCGCATTTAAAATTTTATTGAACTACTATTTAAGGAATTTATGTCAATAAGTTTGGTATCAAACTGTAGATTATAAATCAAATTTTAGTACTATACATTACTCAATTTCTTAATTTAAAAGTAAATATAAAAAAAACACAGATAAACATCGATTTTTGTGTGTCACGTGGTATGTTGAATGCAGCACTGGTTCAGATTAAATATTTGTGAAATCAAAATACTAAGTCAATTGTTTTGTATGAATTAGAAACTCAAACTACCAATATTGATAAACTAGAAGATAAAATAAGTACGTCTTATCTTTTCTGTTTGCTAAGATATTGCTTATGTAATAAATCAAACACAGTGGCACCCCACCCACCTCTTTCCATATTTGTAAATGCTCCCTAATATACACTTACTTCTAAATATGACATGAATAACCAATTAAAAGCTCAGAATTTCTTTCTGTTGAACCAATATTTCTAGGAAGTAGGGTGTGTCTTTAGTCTGCTCAAAATTTCATATTTTTTAGACTAAAATACAGCTTGGTTACTAAGCTTGATAAATTATAGTTGAATTCCATGGTATTGATGAAGTAATTTATGATTTTTTAGTTATTCAAATGTATATATATATAAAACCTAAAAAAAATTATTTTATTTCATATCCTCTACAGGTAAAATTTTAAAACTAGAAGAGATAATGGTTTGCTTTACTTCTTTATTTACTGTTCTATGCTTGAAGAAAAATAAGTTTAAGAACTTATTTTTAAATAGCAATAATTTATATACATATATAATGTATAATAATTGAAATGTGACTTCATTCTACAAAGTACTAGTCTACTAAAACACAGCCAAGACAGGTTACATTCTAAAGACCAAAGGCCAGTTTTATGTTATTGGATATGGTAACACGAGTGCACGTGTGCCGCATCATTGTAACTTCTGTATTGTTAGCCAGGCACGACTGAAAGGTTAATATAATAAAAATAATAAATATATATATATAAATATATAATGTTATAAGATTTAAGCTATTTAGTCTCAACATTTATGTTGTCGTGTTCTAATTTGTGTTCATTCTAGAATGAAAGAGGCATAATTTATATTTATTTCCTAATTTTTTATGGTGGTTGTGAGATTGGTGAAATCTACCGAACTCATACAGAGATTCATTACTGGAAATAACAGATAAAATATAAAAGTTTTTTCTTAAGAAACATTTGATAACTATCTGGACATTATAAAGATTTCGCATGTGAAATTTGAAAATTTTCTAATCCATAAAAGTATTTTTAATCTTAAAATGAAAATTACTTTGCATGTTGAATAGGCAACATTTGAAAAGAAAAAAAGAGACATGAGAAAAACATTGCTTTACAAACCTTACGATTTAATAAATAT